AGTGTAGACCCAAAAAGTGAAACTGGTTGTTAAAAAGAACATTACCGCTTCCATGCAAGATATTACTCTAGGGTAATATTTTCATACAACAACACTACCTCAAGACTGAAGTACAGTATATTTTGGCTTTCTTTCAATTAGATCACTTGTAATAAATAATTAAAATAATTGGCTGAATTGAGCAAAAGACGAACTACTGTTTCACTGACTTAGTAACTTCTTCAGCTACGTATTCGAAATTATTCATCGCCTAAAAACCTATTCCTAAACAGTTCTATTTCAAAAGTGATGAAACTGAAGGCATTTCGAATGGTTATTCACTAATTCATCAATTATCATGTACTAAATAGAATTATTAAGACGTCCGTACAGTTGTACAACACATATCGTATATATTGCTAACTAAACAAATCAAAATAACGAATGGTTTTATTACTTTAGGTATTTCGCTTTCTACTGATAAGTTGTAAGATCAACCAGATAGACTGCAAAGCCGTCATAAATCTGAAACAGTATGCATTAAATCCGAGTGCATAGAGCTCTATATGTTAAGTAAGTTGCGTTACAAACACATTTTGTTAATTCGAAACATTGTAATGAGTAACCAGATAATATATTCACAGCATAAATAACTTAATACACCATACAAAGTATAAAAACAAACCATAAAAATAAGTTCGAAAATTTAAAAAATAGTAAACAACGTCTAACAAATCTTCAATATAAAAAAAGAGATTTTGCCGCCTAGTGATTTGAATCGGATATGCATACAAAATAGAATCAAAAAGAATAACATTCCTAAAAGAATTGATCACATAAGTTAAAAAGAAGAGCCTTTTCATGTTCTCATTCATGTAATTTCTAAACGAAAATAGAATAAACGGTTGCCCATTTATGTCTACAATAATAAATTGAAAATGTTGACATATCACGTTAAGTAGCTTTTTTAAAAGATTAATCTGTGTAGTAAGATCCATGCATATTAAAGAAAAATTCGAAGAAAAATGTTTACAATAAGAAAAATGGCTGGTAGAGGAACATATTTGAAGAATGCTAGAGGTTGCTAAACCAAGAAGCGAAATTGTTGGCCATTAGATAGAGTAATATGAGTAGTTGCAGACTAATCATTGCAACCAATCTCATTATTGTACTCGATGCTTGGAAATTGCACTACATGGATTAGGATCGACTGCAATAGACTATATGGATTTACTCCTGCTCTTCCCTTAGATACTGGATTTCAAAGTTATATTACAGTTTTTAATATTTTTTAATTACATTATTTTATAACCCAATGGTTTCTACCACTATTACTGCTTCCACCCATCTGGGATCCATTGTGCTAATTTGGCGTGGCAATTTTAACAATGCAGATAGGTTATAGGTTTTACGTTTTTGTTTTTAACTAACTGACTGACGTTCCCAAAAAATTTTACAGGTTATTAATTTTTTAAAACGTTTTAGCTTAATGTTTATTTAAATGCTTATAAACAAAAGTAACAAGATACTTCATTGGTTTATTCAACTCTGAAAATATTTAAAATATCCGATCACCATTTCGAGATCAACATTGAATGTTCGACATGAATAGGGAAAGGTTCGTATCCAAATCAACAATAATAAACTGATAAATCAATAGCTTATCACGTTGAGACTGATATCAGTCATTCCGTCTTTCTAAATTTTTCATTGCTCTTATCTTGTTAATTTCAAAAAAATAACTCAACTGTATAAACAACGTTTACATTGCATAATGCAGTAGATAATGTCAATTGTATTGTAATATTTACCATGTTTATCAAACAATGGTGCTACTTAGTTTCGGGAAAAAAATCCACAAAAAAATTATTCTTTATTTAAAAATAATAAAATTAATTAGAAAGAAAAGAAGAAACAAGAGATAAAGTTTACCTTTTAACTTTTATTTCGAAATAAATAAATAAAAGAAAATTAAAATGTAATTAAATCAAGAAAACTTATAATAAACTTAAGAACAGAAAACATTAAAGTGAATGCAGATTAAATTTAATTTGTAATATAATTATTACTTATTATTATTATTATTGAATTATCGCGGATAACTATGTTTTAGTCGACTATCCCACTGGTTTTTATAAAATTATCTTATTGTATATACATATATATATGCTTAGGTATGTTATCACATTGATATTTTTTTCTCAAAAATCTTTAAAGTTGGAGCTCAATAACAAAAATACAATGCAACACAAGTGAACTTGAAATAAGCAAATAAACGTTGATATTTGGATACAAAGAATTACAGCAAAACAACAACAAAACAGTTTATTAAATATAATATTCTGATTTCCATTTGATTTCGAATGCAAGCAAACAAAACAAAAAAAAAGAATCTACTGAATAAAAAAGTGGAACAGTAAGAAAGAAAAGATTGTGACGAAAACAAACAAATTATAATAAATGCATAGCTGATTGAGAAAGAATGTGCAATGTAATTGGAGAGAAGAGAAATTGTTAAGGAAGAAAAGAGAAAAAGAAGCTGAACAGGATAGAAGAATAGAAAAATAAGAAAAATAAAAATAAACAGAAGAACTACTGAAAGGAAAGAGAAAGTTAGTGGACGAATTAGAAAACAATCATATTCTTATTAATTTATTTAAAATAATAATAAGTATCAATAATGAGCAAATAATGAAAATGAAATCCATTTGTGCTTAATGTTTTGTCGGTTGATTTCATTAATTCATGTTCTCGATTATTTAAAATGTAAAAATCAAGGTCAAGAAGCTGATGATAATAATAATAATGAACAGAGGGAAAATCAGAAACTAGGAGAATAACCGGTGAACTTAGGTGTAGCATACTTAAATAAAGAAACGTAGTGGTACAAGGCCTGATCTAGATTTTTTCTTCAGCAAAAGAAGTTTCAGTCCATTGAGCACATATATATGTATATATGACAAATATTCACACCTTCAGGAGTGTCAAAAATGGATGAAATTTAGCAAGAAAAGAAAGTGATAACATTAAAATTCTCATCATGTCTCACTAGGTTGCAATGTTAAACAAAGAAGGAAAATAAGATTTTCCAAATTGATAATCATATTTTATATTCATACTTAATTGATCAATTCTTCTGATTGTTTATTATTTCTGTTACATATTAAAAAACCGAATTATTATATTTCAATTTATTTCATAGCGTATCTTTAAACTTTTGTGAAATATACGAATTACATTACGTATGGATTAACATGAAATATTAAAAAACTTATGCGTTGAAATCCACTGAAACATTTGAATTTTACAGTATCAGTGATAACATATAGAATTTATTACATTACTACAATATCCGTTACTCGTTGAGTGTACTTCGTATCTCTGAATGATGTAACACAGTGATTTGATTTGATATTGTCACAAGTGTAACATGAGCTAAACATTTATTGTCAGATTTATATGAATTTTTTTAATTAACCAAAACCTAATGAACCATTCAAAACACATATATTCAAGAACTAAGTGATTATTTAGTCTTTATGTAATACGGTACATCAACATTTGCAATCCAACTAAATCCAATGAAGCAATTTATATTAGATAAATATTGCAATAAATCTGATCTAAGCCACATGAATCTAATTTAAAATGTTCTATATTCACTGTTAAAACTGAAGGAAATTGCTTTGTTTCCGTAACAAATAATGAAGTGTACACAATAGCTCTGCCAAAAGTGTCATTAGATAACTTGATACAGTTGGGGAAGACTAATTTATAAATAAATACTGTTAAAGAAAACTAGACAAAATATTCAAATCAGTGGCTCAATACAATGTCTAAATTAAGTAGATCTAAATATGAAGAATACCTCAAACTTCACCACCCCCGTCATAGATATATTCAAAGGTCGTAAACCCAAAAAACTAATCCAGTCGTTTAGACTAACAGATCAATGAAAAATGAGCATTCTGACATAGAAAGAAGCATTATAAATATAAATAAATGGCAATATAAACTAGACAGTGTTTTCTAAACCGACTGACGAAACCAGTTGTATGACATTTTGATAATCAAATTGATAACTCATGCTTATATTATTTTCTCAAAAATACATAAGGTTAGTATTATTAGTTGTTAACCTTCTGTTACGTTCCCATTGTATGAAAGTTAGTTCGCATAGTTTATTATGTGGTTTTCGTTCAACCAAACAGTTTTATAGAAAAGTCATATATTCATTTCTCGTAAACAAAATATGCTTCTTCTATCAACAGAATAATATCATGGGGTTGTGAAAACTGTTGAACTTCATTGGAATCGTCAAACCAATCTGAGTCAGACCACCACTGAAAACCTTGGAGTACTAGACAGCCATTTCGTCCTAGTATAGAACTCTTAGATTGAATAAGGTTGTACATCATCACCGTTGGATGCTGGCTCAATGGTCTAGAGGTTAAGCGCTCGCACGCGAACTTGAAAGACATTGATCCGATTACTATTTTCAGGATGGTGGATGCCTACTGTTGAGGAGTTCCATATTAGGATTGGACGGCACTTCATTATTCCCATGTTTTCAGTGGCGGTATAACTTAAATTGGTTCATGATTTCAATGTAATGCTTTTTAGTCAGAACATTTTTTATTTTGACTAGATGAATGTATAGGCTATCCAACAGATAACTAATAAATTGGTTGAGATAGCAAAACAAATACATTCACATGGTGAACATAGAACAGGCTAACAAAAAGGTCAGTCCAAATCACTTCAGATTCATAGCACACTATTCAAATGATCATCCGTTAACAATTCATAAAGGCTTCATTATTTGCATAGCAAAATGAAAGAAATTTTACAATACTAATTTTAAAAGAAACAACTATCTATGTAACATTTAAGAATAATCTAAGTATAAACAATAAAATATTACAATCAAATCTGTTAAGAAACAAAAGCAAAATGAAAGTAGGAAAATTTTATACTGGATTATTTTCTGGATAAGCTAAATTATGGAAAAATTCACTTACCATATTTAACTAAACATATATCACCAACAACAATATCACCAACTAGTACTTCTGTAATATCACCATCTCGTAAAACAGACATTTTATGGTCTGATTCAATTTTATCTTGTAAACCACGAAATTGTTTTTCTTTCTGCCAATCATTTGTTGCTGTTACTAAAACTACAACCAAAACAGCACAAAGTATAGCAACACCTTCAATCCAACTAACTTCACCTTCACTCTCATCACCGGAACTATGATCTCCACCAAAATCTTTGCGAAGAAAAGAGAAACATTAAACAGAAAATAAATTAAATAATGTTATTATAAGTTCAAGTGAAACAATAGCTCAACAGTATTTTGTTATAGGTGAACTATCCTAAATACTTCTTACATAACCAAATATTTAGATCAGAAAATTACCAGTATTTCAGGTTTCTACTTATTTTTTGTTCAAATCCTTACATGATTAGTTGATAACTGTCAAAACTAATTGTTTGGATGCACCATTTTTATTCTTTATTGAAATGAAATGAATTTAAGCTATGCTCTAATATAAGAAAGTACTTGTACATCGTCAATACCTCAATCTACATGAATTCACATTCTTCAACGACTACTGTTTATATTATTCTTGAATACGCCTAAAAGTGGTATTTTGTTGATAAAAATTTATACCACAAAGCTTCATTCTCTGAAGAAGAAATTCTTTTAACACAACTCCCAGTGTCTTTCATAGCTTGTTCGGATAAGCAGAGGATTTTTCAATACAAACTTATCACTCATTTTTGGTTATTTCTGTCTTTCCAGTGATGTTTAGGACTGGAATTGATCAGTCCCTTATTAGCGTATGTGCGTCCTGTGCCGACTGACTCGATATTATCTTAAGTCGCAACATTATAACAAGAGATGGGTGGTTATATATATATAGGTTTATTGAATTCAGTCATATCTAAACTTAAAGATACAACCACCTGATAAGTCCCAAACAGAAAGAAAAGCGCGTCCTGGATACCACTGCTCGCCACCATCCATCTTTGCTTATAAAAAATGTCCTAATATTTGGAAAAATATTATGACCATTCCATTATGAGATAATTTTTCATCTTACACCCTTTTTACGATAAATTGACAGATCGTACTGATAGTTTTTTTCTTAAACTTCACTATGAACATTATGTATTAGTAATGTTCTTGACTGATAGCGAATTGTGAGAATAACTACCTTCGAAATTTGACTGGGACTAACAGCTTACTAAATTTTTGTCATTTTCGAACAAAAACACTTCTGATTTATTGTTATTCATAAGTTTCATTAGAAAGAAATATGAACAGTGTTATAAATTATTCGATAATTAATTATTTATGATAAACAGTTAGTAATAAATATGATTAGCTAGTAGTATTTTATAGTATATTTAGAAAAAAAAAACATCAATTGGTGAAACATAATGTTTTTAAGACCAATAACTAGCAAGTCATTTATTTTTTATTATTTGATTTACCTCTCTTAAGACTGATCATCAAAATGAATTATGGAAAGTGTTTAATTTTTCCTACCCAAAATCAATATCAATCAAAGCACAAAGCAATGAAAACATCTTCAGCTGACCGTATGTAAAATTTATCCTGATCCGTAATGTAATACTTCTCAGTATGTATGCATAATAGTACACATGCCGTTAGAAAAGATTAAACTTAGTACAAATTTATGTTGTTTCAAAATCCTATACCTTACTCTGAATTAGTAAACTCAAAAGCGAAACGTTAAATGTAATAATATGGAATTAATACGTTATAATTTGCAAACACGACATAAAGTTTGTAGGTTATAATGTGACAAAATGAAATGGAGAAATGAGAATTGTATACCAATACAAAATATAGGGATGGGTAGGAGATAAAAAGTGAACAAATCTATGTCCTTAAATTATATCATATAAGACTTTTATCACTAAGTGTTATATTGATCTGACCGTCTCTAAATGGTTTCTTCAGTCTACAACTTCGCTGACAAGCATTTCATTTCGATGTTTTCCATGGCTGTGTATACCTAACTCTTCCTCAGACAATCACAGCCGAGAAGTGCTTACAGGCTCATCAGCCTTTTTACTACCTCTACCCAGTACCTTATGCTCAACATAAGGAATACTCACTTAATATTAACAATGTAAAACATTAGTTGAAAAGATCCATAATTGACCTTTGAATAACTAAAGGTATGTACTTACATCTTTGCGCAAACTTAATGTGTTTCTAAGCGTAATTATGCATTAAGATTACCGATCAGACTATTTTTCATGCTCATTTGTTATGGAATACTGATTGAATATTTTTTTTGTTATAATATATCATAAATACTTAATAATCATTCTGACAAATATGAATTCAACAAAAATATAATTAAGGACAATCTAAAAGGGGAAGAGAAACAAACCCATATTTTCACTCATTCTAATCCGATTACTTAATAAAATGTATTTCCAAAGTAGATCATTTAAATTCAATGACAATTTACCTACATTTAATTCATAAACAGTACTGTAAATGATATGCTGTCATTGTCGCTTTGTGTGCATTTATTTAATCATAAAATCTCAGTACTATAGCAACTCATGAGATTTTATGCTCAACATTAATAAAAACAATTCATGGAATAGATACTATTGTCATTATTATTATTACTATTATATTCATCGTTGAAAAGAAAGGGCTATAATAGCTTTTTTACTTTGCCTTTTCTGCATAAATAAAGGGAGATACCTGTCACTTCTCATTTGTTCTTAATTTGTTTAAGGCTAGTATTTATTGACCCTATAGGCTGATGAGAGATAAACAATGATTGATAGATAGTGAATAAATAAATTATTATTTTGAAAAGATAAAGAAAAGGGAGAAAAATGAACTCTTATTATATACTGAAAAACATTTACTACTAAAACATGAACATATATGAGTATATATGTATGTGTGTTGGATTCAATCATATCTACAATCTCTTAACTTTGTTGTCATATTCCATTTCCCTTGGGTGAACTTAGTCAGTTATCGGTCGACTAAGAAAAGCATAAGATCTGGGACGAATATATCGGTATGAACTGCCACATATATCAGCATAGCGAGATAAAAAATTACCAGTAGATAAAGCATAGAAAAGAAACTAGTACTAACTGAAATGAAAAGTTTATCATGGAGAACATAATTTCAAAAGAAGAAATAGACTTCTGGGGTAAAAACGATGGAATAATATTAAACCTAAGATTTATAGGAAAGAAGATAATTGATAGAACTTTGTCATGGAAAACGACTTTCAGTCGTGTCATCAGTTTTCATTTGGAAGTCTAGATCTTACCGAATACCTGATTGACAGGCAATGATGTGAAGAACTGATGATATGTTTCAGTTTCTCTTCCTTCTGAATTATTTTCACTATTACTACTTTCTCTCTTAGAAGGGTGTTGCTGAGCAAGTGTAACACATGTTTGAACCACGTCACATGATAAAACTTTACAACCTCAATAATCGGCTGCTATTTTGTATTTAGAACCAAATGTCTCGCCTTAAAACTACATACTTATGTGATTCTACTTTACAAGAGCAATAGTTTAATTAAGCTATTGAATGTACACCTGGAGTCTATGCAAATTCTCTAAATCTTCAAACTAGGTTTTAGCATCACAAACTGGCAAAGAGAAAACTTCTGCACAGCATAGGGATCATATCATAGAAGACAACTGTCTTTCAAAACTCAAGATAGCCAAAATCACACGAGAAAAATATATTTATTTTTGAAACCATCTTTACTAAGTAGTTCCGTGAAACACCGCTTTATTTGAAGGCATTTTTCATTTCTTCCTGGAAATAAAACCATTCAAAATCGTCAAACATTTAGCCAAATGTTATATTCTGCACGAAGAATCTTTGACGGTGTTTACTGACGGTATCAGAAAAATTTGAGTGGAGAAACATCAAGCTTCGAATCCAGCATAATGAAAATTAAATATATTTACGCGTATATGTGCAATAAAACAGTAAAGATCAATGAAGTTTTATCGTGAAATTCAAAAAGATCGTCAGACATGTCAGTATATTTAAATAGAAACAAATCACAATGTATCAGTTACTGATACAGATTTCTGGCTATTTATTTTTTATTTATTCAACTTTGTTTCCGTTTACACAATTTATGTACGAGTCTTCCCACATTACTTTTTAACATAAAATAAGTAAAAACGAACCAAAATCAGATATTCCGAAAGTTCACAAACAAACGGACAGAAAAATTCATTCGGTTGAAAATTACATTCAACAAAACACAAAATAAATAATTATTCATCTTTGTTAAAAATATACTGTATGGATTTATATAAACCATCGAATTGCATTTTCCCTAGTAACCTTAACCTCTAGATCAATGACCTGGGATTTAACGGTTAACAGGTCCAACTTAAATCAATCCACGATATTGCGCGACTATCTTCCAAATTGGATCAGCCCATGATTACAATAAGATTCAACAATCTCCAAAACTCCATACTGGCAATCATCATATGCTCAATAGTGACTAGCACCAAGACAAAATTTTAGTTCTAACAAGAAGCCGCGACCAGTGCAGCTAAACCTTCTAAAGTTTTAAGAAGATACCCACCAAAGGCAATCAAAATGGTCGCACAATATCGTGGATTGATATGGGTCAAAGTCTGAGCTTTTGAGAGCAAAACCAGAGGTCTTGATTCCGACTTCTGAATGCGGGGTCATAGAAAGATATCGCTCAGGATTCCCATGCAAGGAAGAAACGGTCACATATGCCTTTCATGTTTTCAGTGGTTATCTAACTCCGATGGGTTCATGAGCTGAACAAAAATAATGTTGCTTGTTATGAGATCAAAAAATGTCCACCTACAAAATTTCCGGATATCATTCATAAAAAGTTTTGAAAAATTACGTTATTAGTACATCTTTTCTGCGTTTGGCAAACAAAACACATATAAATATATATTTTTAAATACTTGTATCAAAGAAGAGAAAACTTCCGTTTATTCAGTCAACTTGACTACAACACTTGACTATAAGTGTACACATTAAATGTCTGCATAAATCCTTCTACTAAAATATCTAAACAAATTACTAAAGCAAAATGATATTTACATACTGTGAAGAGACAAATCAACTTTCATTTCATTTTTAACTAATAATGATTTTTCTATCTATTTGACATGCCAATCATCTTACCATTTTAGAATGACAAACAAAGTATGTATTCATGTCTAATG